TCGTCTCTGAAGGAGGAGTAGTTGTAGTAGTAGTAGTAGTAGTAGTTGTTGTTGTTGTTGTAGTAGCAGGATTAGTAGGAGTAGTAATAGCTGTAGTAAAAGTAGTGGTAGTCAGCGTATGAGCCGATGACGTAGTGTTGCTGGCAATTGTAGTAGTAGAACCCGGGATAGTGATAGTAGGTGTTGCGTGTGTCATCCGAGTGGCACTCGTAGTTGTAGTAGTAGTTGTAGTAATAGCAGAAGTCGTAGTCGTCGTAGTGGTAGTAGTAGTAGTAGTAGTAGTAGTAGCAGTACCAGTAGTGGCACCATCAGTAGCCGCAGTTGTAGTAGCAGTGGCAGTCGTAGTACTAGTAGTCGTAGAAAGAGGAGTAGTAGTAGTAGTAACAGCAGTAATAGCAGTAGTAGTGGTAGTAGCAGTAGTAGTAGGAGTAGTAGTAGTCGTAGTAGTAGTGGTAGTAGTAGTGATGGTAGTACTAGACGTAGTCGTCGTAGTAGAGTGTGTGTGTGTGTGGTAGAAGTAGTAGTGGCAGTAGTCGGAGCAGTGATAGTAGTAGTAGTATCAGAAGTAGTAGTAGTAGTAGTAGTAGTCGTAGTAGTAGTAGTAGTAGTAGTAGTAGTAGCAGTAGCAGTAGCAGTAGCAGTAGCAGTAGCAGTAGCAGTAGCAGTAGCAGTAGCAGTAGTAGTAGTAGGAGTAGGAGTAGGAGTAATAGTAGTAGCAGTAGCAGTAGTAGTAGTAGTAGTAGTAGTAGTAGTAGTTGTAGTAGTAGTAGTAGTAATAATAGTAGTAGTAGTAGTAGGAATCGCAGATCACCCGTTTACGCTCTCCCCCTCCAGCCTTCGCGCGCGCCCGGCGACGCGAGAGACTATTGGCCCCCCAGCTACGAGCGATCGCCCTCCGCGGGGAGCCCCTCGGCGCTGCCGGGCCAGCTCCTGGGGCCCTTCGCCGGGCCACGGGTGAGGGCCGCTGTGCCCTCTGCCCACTCTTTACATTCAGGAGGGAAAGAAACACACACCCAATCAATCGTCGATTCCCCAGAAAATAGTGGAAAATATGGGAAGAAGGGGGGAAGACAGAAGCTCAGAAAATATTGGAAAATATGGGGAATATTTTTATTCATTTGTGTGTCTCAGGGCCCCTTCATACATGCTGGCCAACGCGCTTTTGGGTGCCTCCGTCTAGCTCTATCGCTGGTGCAGCCAACCTCTGCCTCGCCGTCGACGAACACCTGTGCAAGCCGTGCCGTGTTGTCGCCGCCAGGGGCGTCGTCGGCACGCGGGGCCGCCAACGCAGGCGCGGGAGGGGGGGGAACGCCAAGCACGCAGGCCGCTGCTGTCGGATCGCGTGCAGCGACCGGCAGGCCACGCATCGAAGGCCACTCCTGCCTTGCGTGTAGCCCACAGCCGAAACCGATCATCAGGTTGGGTAACCTTCCCAAGGGTACCCTTGCACCCTTGCCTCCTCAGTCCATTCTTCGCCACCCTTGTTGGCCGCGTCCCGCTCGGCAAGCATCGAAATGGGTTCCGGAGGCCCCCGCATCCTGATCGCACATCCTTCTGAGACGGGCCGACTGTACGGTGCACAGGTGTGTGGCACCCAGGGCCACGCACACAGGCGCGGGGGGGGGGCCACGCCAAGCGCACAGGCCGCCACTGTCGGATCGTATACAGTGATCGGCAGGCCACGCATCGACCCAGAAGTGGCACGGTCAACCCGCATCGGTAGGATGGGGAGCCTTCCCAACGGTACCCTTGCACCCTTGCCTCTCTGGCCCATCATTCGCCACTCTTCGCTGGCCACGCCCTGCTCGGAAAGCATCGAAATTGGCTCCCAAGGACCTTGCATCCTGATCGCACATCCTTATGATACCGGACGACTGTACGGTGCACAGCTGTTCGGCACCCAGGGCATCAAACAAAGGCGCGGGGGGGGCCACGCCGAACACACATGCTGCTGCTGTCGGATCGCATGCAATGATCGGCAGGCCATGCATCAGAGCTCATTCCTGCCTTGCATGTAGCCTACGGTCAAAACTGATGAGAAGGTTGGGTAACCTCCCCAAGGGTACCCTTGCATCCGTGCCTCCCTGGTCCATCGTTGGCTGGCATGGCTCGAAACGCGTTGAAATGCGTGCCCAAGGGGCTTGTAGCCTTATCGCTCATGATTGCCATCAGCTTTGACCGTACTTCTCATGGCGCCAGCATCGCAGAGCGGATTCCGTTTGGAAAACGATAGGATTGGCCCGGAGTGTCCCGGAGAATTTCGCTTCGGATTTCGAGGTGAATTTCGTGCGAGTTTCTGTTTCCCAGGAATGAAGACTAAACAACACCCACGCGAAACTCACTTCGTTCTTCGCTCGCCATTTCGAGGTGGACCAGTGGCAGAAGTCCACGCAAAAATCCGCTACAGCATGTCTGCAAGGCCGGCGCAGTGACATTAGGACTCCAATCCTGGATCGAGGGGGCGTCAACACGGATGAGGCACACGGAAGCAGTGACGGGCCCCGTTTCCATGCCGAGTCGGCGCGTTCCGCCCTCAAACTGGGCGGCACTGGCGCCATGTTCTGGGGGCACCTTCCCGATCCCTGGACCACGCGCCAGATCCCTGGATCCTTGATCTCGGCGGCGAGCGAGGGGAGGTACGAGAAGGAGAAGGCCTTCTCAGACGGCTCAGAAGCCCCCCAGATCTCTGGGAAGTTTCCTAAGCCTTCCCCGCAGACGAAGATCTGCTCAGAAGGCGCGAGGGCTTCTGAGAAGTCCCGCCGCTTTCTGAAGAGCCCTTCTCCTTCTCATTTCTCCCCTCGCTGGCCGCCGATGATCTATGCTAGCCCATGTCCAGCTGGAGTCGCCATGGAGAGTGGGGGATTTGCTGGATTCACCGGCGCTGGTTTCGCCGGCGCTGGTTTCGCCCCGCTGGTTTCGCCGACGGCTGGTTTCGCCGGCACTGGTTTCGCCCGCGCTGGTTTCGCCCCGTTGGTTTCGCCCCGCCGGTTTCGTTGGCGGCTGGTTTCGCCGGCGGCTGGTTTCGCCAGCGCTGGTTTCGCCGACGCCGTCGTCGCCGCGGGCGGGCGGACCCTAGCGGGTGGGTCGGGACGGGTCGGGCGGGCGGACCCTAACGGGCGGGTCGTGTCGGGCGGGCGGGACAGCAAAGTGTGGCGGGGCGGGCGGGCGAACCCTAAGGGGCGGGGCGGGTCGTGCGGCGGACCCTAGCGGGCGAGTCGGGTCGGGGCGGGCGGGCGGACCCTAACGGGCGGGTCGGGTCGGGCGGGCGGAACTTCGCGGCGGAACCTATAGACTATAGAGCGAGCGGGTCGGGTCGGGTCGGGCGGGCGGACCCTAACGGGCGGTTCGTCGGGTCGGGCGGGCGGGACATTAAAGTGTGGGGCACGCTCGACCGAGCACGCGCGAACCCTAACGGGCGGGTCGGGTCGTGCGGGCGGACCCTAACGGGCGGGTCAGGTCGGGCGGGCGGGACATTAAAGTGTGGGGCACGCTCGACCGAGCACGCGCGAACCCTAACGGGCGGGTCGGGTCGGACGAGCGGACCCTAGCGGGCGGGTCGGGTCGGGCGGGTCGGGTCGGGCAGTGCCGCCGACGGCAGTTGGTTTCGCACACGGCAGCTGGTTTCGCCGACGGCAGTTGGTTTCGCCGACGGAGCTGGTTTCGCCGATGGAGCTGGTTTCGCCGGGCGGTGAAACCAGCCGTGCGAAACCAGCCGGTCGAATCCAGCCGTCGGCGAAACCAGCCGTCGGCGAAACCAGCCGTCAGCGAAACCAGCTGTCGCCACGCGTTGTGGGTGCCGAGGGACATGGGACCCGAGGGTCTTTTCGTCGGTGCCGCCTCCTGGAGCCCTTCGCCTGGGCCCTGGGGCCGTCAACAGAACGGCTCGGGATGGAACGAGAAGGCGGAGGAGGCGGAGGAGGAATGGGAGGAGGAGGAGGAGCCGCGGGAGGCCCCAGGGTCCAGGACGTGGCTCCCTCAGGATCATCATCTTTTGTGCCGACCCTTTTCCTCCGTCCTGCCCGGCAGCTCCCAGGCCGTCTTCTTCACCCTTCTGGAGCTGGATGCGGGAATGCGCCCCTTGAGCTCCCGCATAACACATGAGCGAACACCAGGAGATCGTTCTCCGTAGCCGTTTTGGCCCAAGCAGTATTGAGTTACTGGCTTTGTCGTTGCGACGGGCAGTTTTCGTTTGCCATACGCACCCAGTTCCAATCGTTGGTCCGCCCGCGCAGAAGCAGACACGGCGGCGATGGCACCCGTGATCGTGGCGCCCCAGGTCGCGCAGGGAACGCAGGCGCCCTACGTGGACGGCGCCAAAGTCCTCGTGGACGGCAAGGTGGTGCCGTGGGAGGGCGCCTGCAGCGACGTCGTGAGCCCGCTGTTCGCGGCGGACGGCAGCCGCGTCGTCATCGGCCGGCAGGCCGTCTTCACCCCCGAGGCCTCGATGGCGGCAGTGGAGGCCGCGGCGCGGTCTTGGGCGCGGGGCCGCGGCGAGTGGGCGCAGAAGTCCATGGAGCAGCGCATCGCCACGGTCGAGCTCGCGGTCCAGAAGCTGAGGGAGCGGCGGTCGCAGATCGTCGAGATCCTGCAGTGGGAGATCTGCAAGAACGACGCGGACGCGGCCAAGGAGTTCGACCGCACCATGGAGTACATCGCCAGCAGCATCGCCCAGCTCCGTGCCTCGGAGTCCACGGACGTCGTCTGCGACGGGGGCGTCCACGCCATTCTTCGCCGCTCCCCAGTGGGCGTGATGATGAACTTAGGACCGATGAACTATCCCTTCAACGAGACCTACGCTACTCTCATCCCAGCGCTCCTCTGCGGGAACTCCGTGGTCATGAAGATCCCCAACCTTGGAGGCCTCGCCCACGTGCTTACCATGGAGGTGTACGCGGAGTGCTTCCCGAAGGGGGTCGTGAACTTCGTCGCTGGGCGCGGGCGTGACACCATGCCACCAATCATGCGCTCGGGCAAGGTGGACCTGTTCGCGTTCATTGGCTCCTCCAAGGCGGCCGACTCGCTCATCCGCGAGCACCCGCAGCCGCACCGCTTGCGCAGCCTGCTGTCGCTGGACGGCAAGAACCTGGGCATTGTGCTGCCGGACGCCGACCTCGACGTGGCCGTGAAGGAGTGCCTTGCCGGCAGCACCGCGTTCAACGGCCAGCGCTGCACGGCCATCAAGCTGATCATGCTCCACGAGTCCGTGGCCGACGAGTTCTGCAGGCGCTTCTCGGGGGCGATCGCCGCGCTGCCTGCCGGGCCGCCCTTCGGCAAGAACGCCATCACCCCGCTGCCGGAGCCGGACAAGCCGGGGTACCTCGCCGAGCTCGTGGAGGACGCCAGGTCCAAGGGCGCGAAGGTGATCAACGAGCGCGGCGGGGAGACGGACCGCACGCTCGTGTTCCCCTCCGTGATATACCCGGTGACCAAGGAGATGCGCGCTTTCCACGAGGAGCAGTTCGGGCCTCTGGTCGCCATCGGGAAGTACTCCAACGTCGAGGAGGTCTTGCAGCACCTGGCGGACGTCCACTTCGGCCAGCAGGTGTCCCTGTTCACAAGCGCGGCCGCCAAGGGAAGCCAGGAGTTGTCGTGGATCCTCGACTCGTGTGCGCTCGCCACTTGCCGCGTGAACATCAACGCGCAGTGCCAGCGCGGGCCAGACTCCTTCCCGTTTGCTGGCCGCAAGTCCTCCGCGCTGGGCACCATCAGCGTGTCAGAGGTACTGAGGGCGGTCTCCGTAGAGACGATGGTGGCCTCCAAGAGCCACGCTGAAACATGGGGAATCACTCAGGGATCCAACGCATTTGCGCCAGTCATGAGCAATAAGGACCGGGCCCGCGGGGGGCCCTACGAGAAGGCAGGCGCGTCGAAGATTGTGGTAAACGATTCGTTGATGGGAGCTTGAGGGTGCGCCCGCTGTGCTTCTGCAGCATGTTGTTCGGCAGATTTGTGCTTAAGCATTTGTCTAATACCTCTAAGTGCCCTCGTTTCTGGACACGTTGGATGTCCGTTTCTCCAGGCGTTATTTGCAATCAGCCAGGTGTGTATCGCGTCTTGTGATAGGGAGGGCACCTGGCTTGTTGTGTTGCCTCTCTACGCATGCTAGTGTGCTAGCTTGTGTTCCGGTAATCCAGCTGCCTGCGGCAAGTTCCGCCGCCGTGCCATTCAAGCATGTTCGATGGTGGTGTTAATAATGTTGGTGATGATGATGACGGAGAGAGCGATGATGGTGTTGTTAATGCTGATGCTGTTGATGATGATGGTGATGGTGATGGTGATGGTGCGGGTGGTGACTATGATGATGATGATGATGCTGATGATGATTGCTATGCTGATGTTGCTGATGCTGATGATGCTTGCATGGATGAGTATGCGATCATGACGAGAATTATGAATGCGATGATGATGATGATGTTGATGGTGATCATATCGCTGCTGGTGTTGCTGCTGATGATGATGACGAGGATTATGTTAATGCTGATGCTAATGCTGATGGTGATGATAGTGATGCTGATGCTGCTGATAATGATGACGATGATCTGAATTATGATAGTGGTGAACATGCAGGTGATGATGCTTGTGATGATGGTGGTGGTATTGGTGATGGTGTGGATGAGGAGGCGAAGAAGGAGAGGCTTTTCGACGAGTCCTCACGGACCTTGTTTAGGCTGTCTTGGGGCCGTGCTGGGATCAAGTGGGGCAGTCTGGGGTGTCCCTTGAGGTCGTCTTCGAGCTCTCTTGGGGCCCCCGTGGCTGCTCGGGGGGTCAATTGGGGCCGTCGTGGGGCCGCCTTGGGTCCCTCCGGAGGCTCTTGAGGGTCAACTTCAGGCCTTCTTGGGCCCGTCCTTGAGGCCGTCTTGGGGTCCTCAGGGCGGTCTTGAGGCCCTGGTTGGGCCGTCCTGAGGCCATCTTGGAGGCCCCTTGCGCCGTCTTGGGCCGACGGAAGGCCGAGAAGGCGGGAATGCCTTCCAGCACCCCAGGGAACTCAGTGAGGTTGGCCTCCTCTTGGGGGCCTGCTGGAGGCTCTCTGGGGCATCCTGGGCCGTCCTCAGACCATCTGAGGCCGTCTTGGGGTCGTCCTCGGCCGTCTGGGAGCGCCCTAGGACCACCCTGGCGGCCCGGGAGGCCTGCCGTGACCGGCTGGGAAGGGGCGGCCCTGCGAGACCTGTTGCCGGAGCCTTGCGCGACAGGGCACGGGCGTTGCAGCACGCCAGTGCCCTGAGGGCACGGCGGCGGATTTTCCTCGCGCCGGCCGTTGCGTCCACCGCGAGAGCCGTTCCAGAGTCGAGCTGACTGAGCGACAGAGCTCTGCCGAGCAACAGGGCATCAGGCTTGGAATAGAGCCTGGCTGGTGCATCAGCCTCAGGACGGACAAATTCGCACAAGCGGCGCAACGGGCCGCGCCACAGACAAAAGTAACAAGAACATATACGGATGCCGTCCTCGTAGGCAGCAGGGTTGGTGTTGGCGGTGGGGGACGTACAGTCAACCCGCGCAGCAAGGATCGGCAACCTTCCCGAGGGTACCCTTGAATCCTTACCTCCTCGGCCCATCCTTGACCACTTTTGTTGGCCGCACCCCGTTCGGAAGGCCTCGACATGGGCGTCCAAGGCCTTCGCATCCTTACCGCGCGTCCTTCTGGTACGGGTTGACTGTGCGGATGTCGTCCTCGTAGGCACCAGGGTTGGTGTTGAAGGTGGGGAACGCATCATGGTCCATCTCCTCAGGGGCCTGCCCGGGGGCACCGATGCACGAGGCGGGTTCAGAGGCCTGGCGGATGGGTGCGGCCCAGAAGGAGGAAACAACTCAGGAGGGAAACCTCGACACAGACACAGCGAATCGTCGCTTCCGATGGAAGACATGGGAACTTGTTGGAGGTGGAAGGGGCGACAAAGCTCCAGGAGGTACGCGAAGGGACGCGGACTCCTGGAGCCTGTGTGTGTGTTGATTGGCGTCTCCCCGAGCCCCCTTGAAGGATCCCGTCGAGGCGGCGGGGGGAGGCGGACACACGCGGAGCAGAGGAGGAGCAGCGGGCCCCCCGGCGCGCAGCGCGGGCGCGCCGTGTACCCCGCCGGGGCCCCGGCAGGCGCTGCAGCGCGCCGCCACGCCGAGGTTCGGCGGCCCGCAGCCGGGGCCGCCTCCGCAGGAGCGGCCGGGCGCGGGAAGGGGCACCGGTCTCTCTCGCCCTCGGCCCCAGCACCCCTCGCACGTGTCCTCCCAATGTTGCGGCCTTCCAAGAGGGGGCTAGGGCTGTCGCGCGCGCGTGTGTGTGTGTGTGTGTGTGAAACTGTATGTGAATGTCAATGTCAATGTCAATGTCAATGTCAATGTGAATGTGAATGTGAATGTGAATGTGTGTGTATGTGCGTGCGCGTGTGAGGGTGCGCGTTGCCTCGGGTCCCACACGCTCGGAGCGGGCCGGCCCCCCGCTCGCGCGCTCGCCCGCCCGTTCGGTGACTTCCTCCGCCTCGACGCCGCGCGCGACCGCCAAGCAGCGCGTGTGGGTGTGCGAGCTGCCTGGCCCTTGGCTTCCAGTCGCCTCCTGGTGGTGGCCTCCTCTCCTGTCGCCGACGCCCTGCGTCGCCCCTCTGCGTGTCCTCTGTCGCTCGCCCCTCGGGCTGTCGTCCGGGTCTCGTCCTTTCTTGGGTCCTCCCTCGTCGCTCCCCTTCCCCCCTCTTCCTCCTCCTCGTCGTCGTCCTCCTCCTCCTTCTCCTCCTCCTCCTCTTCCTCCTCCTCCTCCTCCTCCTCCTCCTCCTCCTCCTCCTCCTCCTCCTCTCAAGCCACTTTGGCCCGAACATTTTGCCTGGGCAAGGGCGTCCGCCTCATGACTCATACGTGGTGCTTGAGAGGAACCCGCGAGTGTCCAGTCTCACTTTCTGCACGCTTTTGGTCAGTTGCGCGGGTTGGCTAAACGGACGCGTGCACCTCACAGCTATGGGCGGCAAGGATAATAAGAAGGCCTCCGCTGAGCAGCAGCAGACGTCCGGTGCGGCAGCGGCAACGGACCCTTGGACCAAGTGCTCAGGCTGTGGCACATGTTAATGGAATGGAGCCGCATCCTCGCCAGCCGGGGTGCGAAGTGCGGCAAGTGCGGGATCAAGCTCACGCTGTTCAAGCCGAAGCCAAGGACAAGGGCGGCGAGCAGCAGAGGGGGCACCAACTTGCGAGGAGCGGTGGGGGCTGCCCCTGACGCCGTCGCCTCGCTGGAGGCTGCCCTGAAGGTCGTGCGGGACCCGTCGGTCAAGATCATCCTGGAGCAGCAGCTTGGGCAGGCGCGCGCGGCGGCGACCTCGCCCAAGAGCGCGCCCGCTGAGGAGGCGGTCCGCCTGGCGTCAGGCGCCTGGCGCGACGCTTCCGCCAATTGGGAGCAGGCCCGTGCACAGGTCGAACGGTGCGCGGTGCGCGCTCAACCTCCAGCGTGCTCGCGAGCGCGAACAGGTGACGGCGCGCACGTTGGCGCTGGCGGAGATCAGCAGGCGCAGTGCGGCTGCGGCGCTGGCGAAGGCCACGGGGATCACCCCAGAGCCCGCCACAGCGCCTGGCGTGCCCCTCATCGACTTGTCGTGGGGCACCAGTTTCTTCGGCAACATCGATGACCTCGAGTGCAGCACCGAGGAGAAGGCAGAATTGAAGAATATTGAACAGGAGCTACAGGCCGCCAAGGAGAGCGTGCAATCCAAGGCGAAGCAGGTCTCGCAGTGGCGGGACAGGACCCGAGAGTTCCGCAAGCAGATGCAGGAGCGCATGGCGAAGAAGCGGCGTGCCGACGGCGAGGGCGCCACACAGGGGGGCGCAGTGCCAGGCGCGGGAGCGCCTGGAGCCAGCCAGCCCGCGGCGGCAGGAGGAGCGCCTTCTCCAGCTGCTGCGGCGCGTGGTGGCCCTGCGGCGGCGGCCCCCTCAGGCCCAGCAGCGGCTGCCGCGGCTCAGGCGCCTGGCGGCGCGCAGGGCCCGTCTGAGGAGCTGATCAAGGCCGAGATCGACAGGCTGCGCGCGGCCGCGGCGGCAGGAGCGGAGGCAGGTGCCGACGCCGCGCCGCAGGTCGCCGCAGCGGGCGCGTGAGCCCGCGCGGCGGGCGAGGGAGCGGCGGCCACCTCGTCCACCGAGCCACATGGGCCGCTTGCCGTAGCTGGCGATGCAAGAGTCGAGCCAAGCCTGTGCAGCATGTTATTCGCGAGTGTGACCCGCTTAGGCCCTAAAGCTTGGAACCGCGTCAGCGCGCCAGCTTTCACCGAGCAGTACCAGTACGTAGCCTTGACGGGAACCCATGCTGGATGCCACGCTCGTTCGAAGTGGGCGCGGAGTGCCAGGCGCGCGAAGTGGAGGCTCATAGACAACCCTGCCCGAACGACAGGGAGAGCGACCTCGGCGGCCACGGTGGGCAAGGCCAACGAGGGTGGGGAGCTCTTCATGTGCCAGGGCCATCGTCACGTGCACAGAGTGATCCCGAAGGCGTCTCCTATGCTTAGTTGTTGTGCTGAGGGCCCAGATGCCCTCGACGGCTTCCTTCCAGTCATCTTGCACATGGCTGGTTTTTCGTTTATCGCGAGAATCTTCTACGATCATCCGTCCATTGGGTTCGCAGGTGGGAGTTTGCAGCGCCTCGCACAGCTAGGCGCTTTCGTCCAGAGTGTGCAGCTTCCTTGGTGTATAGCCGGTGGCTTTAATAATATCGACGCAAGTGCGTTCGAGCGCTCGGCAATCTTGAAACGACCCCAAGGATTTATCAAGCGGGCTGATCTAGAATGTACCCGCGTCGGGAGTGCACGTGGATCGCGTATCGATGTTGGCGTTGCGTCTGAGAACTGCCTTTCATACATACATAGCATGTCAGCGGCCACCGATGTGCCTTGGAGCCCTCGTTGCGGTCTTGAAATTCGCCTCAGCGCGGCGGGGCAGCAATTGATG